CACACAAAGGGTCAGGGTCTGCGTACGGCCTCTCCAGGACTTTGAGGACTCTCTTAATCTGCGAGTCACAGTGAAATCGTTAGGATGTGCTGATCTTAAAAGCAGAAATGTGGGTTTTAATGTAAAAAAAAAACTCTACGGAAAAAAACGAGGGAAAGAAAAAAACATTAAAGGATTCAACTCAGAAACTGAAAGTTCAGGGATTTTTGTGCACATGTAAAAACAGTTTGCTACCACCTAATAGCAGCTTAATGTCCTTCCAAATCCCAAAAATCAATGGTTTCTTAACAACTAAGGTGAAAAAAAATAACTCAGAATATATTTGGTGGGAAAATACCCTAGATGACACCACCGATTTTGCCTTTCAGTTGGTACTATGATGTCATTTAAATTCTAAACCATTGTGGGATTGTGAACATCTTGTGAGTGTGTATCAGCAGCTCCTCAAACAACCCCGTTTCACAACTGGGAGATTTCTCTCGAGCTTCAGTCACAAAGCCTGCCGTACCTCAGAAAAGTCTCCGTTTTCTGCAGCTCGGATTGCGTTCTGGGCGATGTAGTTCCTCAGCACCACACGGGGATTGTTGCATTTCATCACTCTGCACCTCTCTCTTTTGACAGAGGACAGGTCACTGGTGCCGTCAAACTCCCGAGTCAAACGCCGCCTGGGGTCACACAGGCAAAAGGAAAACAACAGCGAAAAGTTGAGAGACGCTCTTTTGAATCCATGCTTGAATATTAGAATAGAGTCTGAATGTCAGACTCAAAATAATTGCCCCAACACTGAAAATGAAAATGAAACCATGCCAATTCTAAAAAAGATAAGAAAAGCTGGGAAAAAAAGTGTTAATTGTGCTTTTCTGTTTTTGCAGAGCAGTTTCTCACCTGTACTTTTTAACCCAGTGGATCCAGTCGTCACGCTGCTTCTCCTTTAGTTCATTGTGATCCGTCTCCAGGAGTTCCTTTAGCCGGCCCATTAACTCAAGCTGCTGGGCCACATCTGGCCTGTCTGCCACCATTCCAAACATGACAGGGTTGGTTTGCGCCATGGACAAAATCATGGCCAGTTCTCTGGAAATGAGGAAGACGGCAACGTTTTTAAGCTGGCCATGAATCCCTAGTCTCACGTGCTTTTTCCTTTGTGTCTATTCGCTTGTCCCAATCCATTCTGCTAAATGTCACAGAACTTTAACTTACATATTATCTTGATAAGACTGTTGCCCCAAATGCTAGCATGTAAAAGGAGGAACAGATCAGATAGGAAAACTGTGTTAGACAACTGAAACCACTACAGTGGTAAACCAGGATGAAAAGTATGATAACTGAGGGTATATGGTGGTGCAGCCACACATTTAATAGTCATGCTATGGCTAATAAACGACAGAAAACAAACGTGTAATCAACCACCATACACCCCCTCACCGGTCCTCCATTGTAGGCTTGTTAGCCACCTTTAGCTCCTCAATAGAGGCACACTGCTCGAGGATGAGGTCCACTACTGGTTCCACAGTGGTCCTCTCATCGTCCCCCTCCTCAGGCCAGGGGACCTGACTCAGCAAGTGGAAGGTGTTAGTGAAATCCGCACCTGGAGAGGCATACCACCAGTGAGTGCCGAGAAATAAACATCCGATAACATTTCCGGTAAGTCCTCTCTTTCTTTTCTTTACCAGTATTTTGCATGACGCGCAGCAGGTCTGATACGAGTTCCCTGTCTTCTGCCTCTTCTTTTGTCACCAGGCCAAGTTTTTTCCTCATGATAGACAAGTAAAAGATCTCATACGTTGGCATGAACTCATCCAGGATGGATCCGGCCTCTGCTGAGTTCAGCTCGGGGCCCAGCGCCTCGGCCAGGCGAGCCAGGTTCCAGCGGCACACGGAGGGCTGGGCCCGGTACGAGTAGCGCCTCCTCTTGTCTGAACCATTGCAGACAAAATCCGGATCAAATCTGTCACACGTACAACCGTCTTATCACAGGGTTTCAAACATCTGACACAGAAAGATACTGTGTTTTCCAAATGTGAGCGTTTCGACTGCTGAAAAAACAGCTTCAGCCTACCTGTCCATGAAACCAAAGGGGCCATAGTCCAGAGTAAGACCCAGTATGCTCATGTTGTCTGTGTTTAGGACGCCGTGACAAAAGCCCACACACTGCCACTGGGCCACTAGCTTAGCAGTGCGCATCATAACCTGTAGCAAAACACGTCAAAAGAGATCAAGATCCTTCAACGTCTGGACTGGACGAACTATCTGAGAAGAGAGGTATGTTCTAACCTCTCTGAAAAAAGCCATGTTCCTGTCTTTCCTGTTGCCGTGAGCCCGCTGAACGTGGGGGTAGAAAGTCTCAACCACGTAATCCAGAAGCTGAGAGCGGATATCATGCCGGCCCGCACTCGGACCCTGCACGCCGGACAGCTCGTCTCGGCCTAGAAAGATCTCGAATGAGCCAAACCTTTCAACACACACAGAAAAAGAAAAGCATATTTTAACAGAAAAAAACATGCCGTAGACATGACCACATCACACCTGTCCTCCACTCCCTACACTGGCTCCCGATACAGTACAGAATTCAATTCAAAATACTCTTGTTTGTCTTTCGAGCAGTTAATGGCCTTGCGCCTTTGTATATCAGTGAAATTCTGAGGTTTCACCAGCCCAGCAGACCACTTCGGTCTGCTGGTCAACATCTGCTGGAGGTCCCACGGTCCAGGTGCAAGCAGTGGGGTTGACCGCTCTTTTGCAGTGGCAGGACCTAAACTGTGGAACTCTCTGCCCACTGAGTTACGTTCATTTACTGACCTGCCACTGTTCAAAGCTCAACTTAAAACGTATTTGTTCAGGATGGCTTTTTGCACGTAGGGTCTCTGCATACTGGGTTCTGTCACCGATGTGTTTGTCTTTGTGTATTTCGATAGTTTGATCTGTTTTTATTCTGTAAAGCACTTTGATCAACTCCGGCTGTTGTAAAGTGCTATATAAATAAACATTGATTGATTGATTGATTGATTGATTGATTGATTGAAAAAAAAAGCATGGTCATGGTTGGCGTTTGGTTTGATAGAGGCGTAAAACCTGATGAAGGACGGAGCGAGACGCAGAACCGCCGAGCAACGCTCTGGAACGCGCTGACCACTGCTGAGCGGGTCTCTGCTCACGTAGAGGTCGGAGGTCACGAGGGAGGCCGCACGAGTGCTGGGGATCCCCAGGGAGGACATGGCCTCGCTGCAGAGGAACTCTCTGATGCTGGAGCGAAGCACCTTCCTGCCGTCCCCACCCCTGAGCAAATAGGGACACAAAGTTATCCATTTCAGACAGTGTTAGACAGTGAATGTCTCATGTCGGCTGACCCCTGCTTTGAAGTTTGGTTTAAAAAAAGTGAAAGTTACAGCTATTGTGTTATATGAAAAACTGTTTTTTGTTCCTATTAAGTGCCTGAAGACACTTGGTGTGTCTGATTTGCAACTATATATATACTTTGGTGATTTGTTGATCAGTGTATATTAGTGGTCAGGCACAAGGCATGGACTGAAAGAGAGTGGGAAAAATCCAGAGGTGTGGTTTTATGCTTTACAGGGCACTGCTTTGTTTCTGAGATGTGCCAAGCATAAGCTCTTAAGCAGCTCTTACATTCCTCTAACTGTGTTATTAGGACCTGTGGTGTACCGTGTTATAATTGTGTTACTCACAATTAGTATTAGTACCACAATTAGATTACAGACTAATAAAGTGAGAGTAACAGTTGTAGGAACACACAAAAGAAACAAAAGATAAACAAATCACCTGGAATAAGGTGTGACTCCAGCCCCTTTGACTTGTATCTCCCAGCGTCCATCCTTGGTCTCCACCTCCCCGAGGTAGGTGACCGCTCCATCCCCCAGCTGACCAGCGAACAGGCCGAACTGGTGTCCGCAGTAGCAGTGGGCAGCCGGTTCGGAGCCTGGCAGCAGCCTGGAGCCGCTCAGGTAGTCCGGAGCCAGAGGGTCGCCCAGCACGTCGTGCGCAACGAGGCCCAGCAGGGCGAGGGCCGGCTCGGACAGGGCCACGCACCGGGGACGGAGCAGAGGCTGAAGCGTCCGAATCCGAGAGAAACATGCCCCCGGGACGGTCCTGGACAGTTCGGGGGGTTCGTCCGAGTCATCCACCGGCAGCTTTTTAAGCGCGAGGTTGTTAAAAGGCAAGCGCTCCAGGGCCGAGGGCGCGCTTTGAGAGGGCTCCATGAAGCGTGTCAGCGCCAAACTTAAGACGCACTCACTAATCCTCAGGTCTGTGAGGTAGCCCCGGGGCGTGATAATGCTTGGTAGACTAGGAAAAGGGTGAAACTGCGTGTACAAAAGCTTAGTCTATAAATATCATTTTTTTATGTCTAACTAAATGAAAAAGCACTGTCACAGCCACAGAAAAAATAAAGCGACATAGAATTTATGGTGCACTGTTGCGATGTGGCCACTAGATGGCAGCAACTGTGTTTAAAAAAAAACGTGCTGTGGAAAAAAAAATAAGTAGAAGAAGAAGTTGCTGTCAACAAACAATTTCCACAAAATGTGTAAGTTTGTATAGTATTCTCTTTTGTGAATAAGCTCCTTACATTTAGAGGAGACGCTTTATAGTTCCATTTAGTTTGGCGCCCCAGGCTGACCGGCGCCTGTCAGTGCCTGTAAACCTGAACGCCGCCAACCGGAGCTGGGCAGTTAGCTGCATTGCTAACTAAGGCTATACCAACTTTTCAGCACCAGATTGGGAAAATGGACTCCGGTTTTTCCACTGCTATTTGCAAAGGTTGGTTCATTGAAGACAATGTAGCCAAAAAGAACATGTTTTTAATAACCTGGAAGCGATGACAGTTGAGTGGACGGTGGCGTTTATTGGTGTCTCTGCTCCAGTAATATTAGCGCACTTGTGCAAATTGTCAGCGGTTTTAGTTTGATAAAATAGTTTTCTTTTGGCTGACGTTCGAACAGCAGTTTTATCTAAAGCGTTTTATGGGTTTCACGTGTGTCAACTCACGTGCTCATTATCATGCGAATACACTATGCATCCCAACGTGGTGGTAGCATCAAATTTGGGTTTGAGCAACAGTGGTGCCGTTGAACACTCACCCACAGAGTTCACGTTAATAAACGCTGATAAACAGAACCCCTTCTAAACAAGACAACCCTGAAATGGCCAGCTGGATTAGTTTTTTTCAAAATATATATTTATCGTATGTTCTTGACTGTGCAATGTTGTGCAATCCTGATTTTGGGATGGTTTGAGGATGGTGGAAAAGGTAAACCAAATGAGCAAATCCAAAACAATCCTATGTCAAAGTGTTGAGTGTGAGTGACACAAGTAGACAAAAACTGACAGAATTGCAAAGGGCCAGTGTCTGACAGACATTTCAGAAGCAGAAATCGTTGAAAAGTGAGGCATTTGCGTTATCATCAGCAGTTCTCTGGCTCTTTTGTGTGTCTGGTACCTTATGTTTAGGTTTATGCATTCAGCAGAAGCTTTTATCCAAAGCCACTTACCAAGTAGACACAATGTATCATCAATTTAAAGTCTGTAAGTTATACATTGGGGACAAGTTTCTCTGCCACTGTCTCAGTAGTTTTTGTTATTAAAAACAAACAAACAATGCAGGCAAAATATAATGGATAATAATGAATTTCTTTATAGCACAAAAAAATGATAGCTTCTTTGTTCCAGGAAAAGTTTGCCAACCAATTCAACAGCATCTTCCTTTTCCTTTTTTCTACTTTTCAGATGCTTCCTTACCTGTAGCCTCACTGCGCCTGCTGGTCCCCCCTGTCCAACTCCTTACCGCTTCTATGTGGCAGGTGCTGAAGAAAAAAGACATCATGAACTACTGGAAGGTGGCAGAGTTTGTCACGCTGGTGCTGGATATGGTCCCGGATCTGCTGATGCTCAAGCACAGAATTCAGCTGAACTTGGGTTTAAGAGCTAGAGTGAGTATATTTATTCAATAATGTCATGCATTATAGATAGATACGGAGAATTATGGGAAATCAGGGCAGTCTACAAATAGAGGAACTGTGATACTTTACATATATTGTAACATAGGCGTTATTTTGTACATTATTTCTGTCTTCAAAACAGTACATTCTGGAATTGTGCCGAAGTGAACAAACTGTAAAGGCAGAGACAATCCTGTTTTACCTGGAAAAGCTCAAATCAACACACTCCACCCTGGTGGATGTAAGTGTCTAATAGATTTTTTTAAATGATTGTGAATACTTTTGCAACACATTGTTTGTAAATGTATGCTGCCCTTATGTCTTGAGTTTCTGTTTGACCTTTGACCTATACATGTCAAAGCAGGTGAGAGGGTCAGAAGAGGACGAGGTAACGGTGAACTTTCACGAGCTGGTTCAGAGTCTGCTCAAAGACCCAGAAGAAAGACTGGAGTTTTTCATGGTGAGGCAGCAAATCTCAATATCGGACTTTTCTTGAGGCACAAAGCTGCGTTCTACAGGTTGTTTTTATTTATTTATCTATTTATTTTTATCTCGAAGCTGGTACTATTTGATTTAAGAAGCATTTGAAGCATTATAACAGTTTCATTATTGCAAATTTGGTATTTACATTTGAAATCCAGGATGTTGACGGCACATTTTCATCCAAATTTTTGCACTTCTGATCCAATACCGATCCCGGCCTATCAGAGCATGTATTCAAGTTTAAAGTTATTTAGCCTACTTACTTAGTTGTCAGACTCATGTTGAACAGGAATTTACTCTGATAACAACTTAATGGTTAGGACACAGACCTGTGGGTTAGGAGATGCTAATGCTCGTGTGGGATCAGACTTTTAAAAAAAATAAAAATAAAAAAAAAACTGGATCGGAAGCCTGGATCTGCATTTTCTCCTGCCGGCCAATATGCAATTTTTTTGCAAATATCTGTGGCTGATCCAATCCTAATATCGGATTGGGACAAGCCTAATCCAAATTATACCAGTGCTGTTGGCAGGAATGGAACGTTTTGCTATATTAAAGCTGTCTTTAATCGGTGCCTCTGATTCGTAGGATGTCTTCCCCGCAGAATACGGCCCTCAGTACGACACTGACTTGCAGACGCTGTTTTCCGAGTTCCTCTGCCGGCTGGCTCAGCTGTTGCCGGTGCCCGACTTTGAGCAGGTGAGGGCTACAATTAAAACAGTCTCACACCTCTGGATATTAAACTGTGATAAGAGGTCAAAGTCAGAGACGTGCAGCTGTTCGATGATCAATTTTGCACTCGTCTTACGTTTGCTGCAGACTGTCTTGTGGCTCGGAGTGGACAGCTCTGTGTTGGATGATTCTTTGCACACAGTGTCTGAGCCTACAGACTTAAAGAATCTACTCCAGCATCACAGGAACCTCGGGCATTTAGAGCAACATCGTAGGTCACTTCCTGTAATCCAATTCATTTTACACGTCTGCTTATGTGACTGTAGGACTCTGATCGGTGTTGCGTGCTTGTTGCGTTGTTTTTTTTGTGCAGTTCCGCCCACTTGCATGGGCGACATCGTCCTGTCTTCGCTCTCGGCCACTCGCCCCACAAAGCCGGCCGGCCAGCTGGCTCCACAGCTCTCCGTAGCGTTTGTGGACGACGTTGCAGTTGAAGTAATCGCGGCGTCCGATTGCGCCGAGGTGGAGGTCGATGCGAGCACCGACGCCGAAGGGGCGGCCGGAGAAACCTGGCCAGAGGCCGGGGAAACCTGCCCGGTGGCCGAATGCTCCAAAGAGGACCCGAGCACAGAGGAGCCCACGCCGTCCCGGGGCCCGCACGACTGCCCGCACTGCCCCAAGAGCTTCCGGTTCGCCTCCTCGCTCCTGGCCCACAGCGTGATCCACACGGGGGCGCGCCCCCACGGCTGCGGCCAGTGCGGCCGGCGCTTCTCCTTCCGGCAGTCGCTTGACCGGCACCGGCAAACCCACCGGGCCGGACGCACGTACGACTGCCCGGTCTGCGGCCGGACGTTCCACTCGCTGTCCGCCCGCACCGAGCACAAGCGGACGCACGCGGAGGGGGGCGGGGCCTACGCCCGCGGCCCACAGAGCGGCGAGGACGGGGAAGAGGGGAACCCCACCATCCCGTTAACAGTCCGAGCAAGCGGGCGCAAGCGCCGACCCACCATGAAGATCCAGGAGATAGATGTCCAGAAGCGCACGGCCGCTAAGAAAAAGGAGGTCAACCGGCTGGACCCTCCGGCTCCAACCGCTCTGCCCATCGTTTGGTAAAATCATCAGTCCTCATGATTTGTTTTTGACGTGTCCCCCTCTCTCACCATTTTATCAGCATGCTGATGTTATTCTCAACCAATGACAATATCTGTTGTTATAGATTAAGTACACGTACTGCACAGGTGCTGAGTGAGCACCAGTGCATGTAAACTATCTCTGGATCAGACCCATCCGAAGCATTTCAGAGTACAGGCATCACCAGAAACAATGTCAGCTATGAAGAAAAAATCTATAGAAATCTGTTTGTTGATTTACAGGATTTCTGTCTTTTCGTCCCACGTTAGTCCAAATAACATTCACCAGTTTTGACCAGTTCAGGGTAGAAACAAACACCTTTGTGGCTCTTTATTCATTTCAGATTAGCATGTTTATTTTCAGCAGGAATTAAGTGGAATGGCTTGATCTGGTTGAATATAATGGTTTCTGATGTTGAGCAGCCATATTAACATTTTTCTGTCGGATTACAGTTCCGAGCACTCGTATGGGTCCCCCAGGGTGTCCAAAGGAGGTGATGAAGGTAGGTATTGATTATTAGAATGACTTTTATTGAATCTTTTTCATCCTGACAACTTAATTAGATCTAAAAGCAAGCGTTTTTTGTGGATTCTTAGCGACGTGTTAATGGTTTTCTCCAGTTTCTGACCATTTCGTTTCTCCGGAAGGTTCTTCGGCAGATGCCTTGCCGGCCACTTTCCACCAACCGGGCGCGACGGAGACACCGGAGGCGCCGGCGGCCGACGGGGCGTCCCGGTGCGCCGACTGCGGGAAAAGCTTCCGGTTCCAGTCGCTGCTCCGGGCGCACCGGCGGACGCACACGGGCGAGCAGCCCTTCCTGTGCGCCCAGTGCGGCCAGCGCTTCTCCTTCAAGCAGTCGCTGGAGAGGCACCGGCACACGCACGGCGCCGGCCGCCGGGAGCCCCCCCCCCCCCTCCAGACCCACGCCTGCAGCTGCGGGAAGAGCTTCTCCGGCCGGGCGGCGCTCACCGCCCACCGCCGCACGCACCAGACGGAGCGGCCGCACGCCTGCCCGCAGTGCGGGAGGGGCTTCCTGTACCGGGGCGGCCTGCGCAGCCACATGAAGATCCACTCCTCGGAGAAGCCCTACGCCTGCGCGCACTGCGGGAAGCGCTTCAAGAGGGAGCGCAACATGAAGAAGCACGAGCGCTGCCACACCCGGGAGGACGTGTTCCGCTGCTCGCAGTGCGACAAGAGCTTCGTCTACAAGGCCACGCTGGTCCGGCACGAGCTGACCCACTCCGGCGAGAGGCCCTACCTCTGCGCCCACTGCGGGAAGGGCTTCTTCTCCCACGCCGAGCTCCTCAAGCACGAGCGCTTCCACACGGGCCACAAGCCCTTCCAGTGCCCGCACTGCGACAAGAGGTTCACGCAGTCCTGCTACCTGACCGTGCACCTGCGCTACCACACGGGGGCGCGGCCCTACTCCTGCCCCCAGTGCGCCAAGGGCTTCCTGAGCGCCAACCGCCTAAAGAGGCACCAGCGGACGCACTCCGGGGAGAAACCCTACCTCTGCGGGGAGTGCGGGAAAGGGTTCGGGCAGTCTTACCACCTCAAAATGCACCAGAGAACGCACGCGGCCTAAAACAGGCCAAAGCCCTCACGCATGAAGTAGCGCGTTAATAGCACGTTAATACCAAAAAAGGGCATTGTTTTGTGTCTGACCTCCCGGCTTAAAGTATGGAACACAGACTAGAGGAATATCACATTCCTGAATAAAGACAAACGAAGTCTACACAAAATTCAGTTTTTATTTGCACCTTTTTAAACAGCATTATTACACTGGATAGGAAAGAAAGCTTGTCTTTAACTGTGGGAGTTTCATTTAAAACCGTAACGCCAGACAGGTTCTGACAATCAGCTTAGACTCTGAGGATTATAGTGTTGTATTATTATTATTTTTTTAACAATTCGGCCGCACGGGGCGGGACTTCAGTTACAGGGAGAGACGAGAGGAAGGGCTCACGGAACATTTAGTCTGGAAATAAAAAAACAAACAGAAGTGCTAGACTACTAACGGGACAGCGGCGGTTCCCTTAAAAGGAGAAATCAGGGCCGGATGGACAGTCCCTACACGGCCATGTGCAGCGTGATGGGGCAGTGGTCGCTGCCCAGCGCCTGGTTGCGGATCTTGCAGTCGCACAGGCCCGGCAGCAGGGAGGAGGACAGCAGGAAGTAGTCGAGCCTCCAGCCCACGTTCTTGGCGCGGGCGTTCATCATGTAGGTCCAGAAGGTGTAGGCGTTGGCCTGCTCCGGGTAGAGCTGGCGGAAGGCGTCCAGGAAGCCGGCCGCCAGCAGCTGGCTCATGCCCTCGCGCTCCTCGGGCGTGAAGCCCGCGTTCTTCTTGTTGCCCTTAGGGTTCTTCAGGTCGATCTCCTGGTGCGCCACGTTGAGGTCGCCGCACAGCACCAGCGGCTTCTGCACGTCCAGCTCGCTCAGGTACGCGCGGAAGTCGGCGTCCCAGCTCTTGCGGTAGTCCAGGCGCACCAGGCCCCGGCTGGCGTTGGGCACGTAGGCCGTCACCAGGTAGAAGGCGGGGAACTCGGCGGTGATGACGCGGCCCTCCTTGTCGTGCTCCTCTTTGCCTGGAAGGAGCGGGGAGAAGAGAAGAAGACTTCAGAG